AAAGCTAAACCGGGGCATTCGCAGGGTTCAACCGGGGTACTCGTAAGTGTCCATGCCCGTCTCTTATCCACAAGTGATTCAAGAAATAATTCCCCAGTGTGTGTAAACTTGGGACATGTATTCAAAGGGATCCGCATGGTGTTCAGTATCCATTCTTCAGAATATTCAGTTCTATCATCCTCTCAACAGTTCAGGATGTTTGGAAATCTAGCCAGATTATCTCTTCCCAATGGTATGATTCAGAATCCAGCATCGTACATAAAGAACCGATTCATCATCAATTCAATCTTCAGCAGAGTCATTGACAATCTTCAGTATCATGGGTTCCCTAGTGCAAATTTTTATCGGTATCCCCATCGATCTTTGGCACTGCAGACTTCCAGCGTCGATATGTATTGACATCCCCAGTGATGAACAATGTCCCCCAGCAAGCCTACTCTTATCCCCATGAAGTTTATTTCTTCACATTGCATATAGTTATCATTACATAACATTGCATCCTCAAAAGCGCGTAGCTGATCCATCAGAGTGGATCTTTGCGTCAAAATAAATTCAAACATGCATACAAGGCATAATCCAGACCAGGTACCTTACATGAAAGACCTGAATTATTCAAGGACAACAATACGTCCCTACAGGAGGGTATCATGCCCAAAGTCCCCAATCAGTGACCTTCACCTTTTCAATGCCAGACAAAACCAATACACTTTGTCGTTCTAAACCCAGTTCTTGTCTGGTAATCAGTTCCCTAAAACACTCGTCCGTGTCCATTCCTAAACACTCGTCCGTGTCCATTCCTAAACACTCGTCCGTGTCCATTCCTAAACACTCGTATGTGTCAAGTTTCCTAAACACCCGCCCGGGTCAGTTATTCAAACACTCGTCCGTGTTTAAACTTTTGATACTCGCCTGTATCTTCTTTCAATACTCGTCCGTATTGATTCAAACACTCGTCTGTGTTTAACCTTTGATACTCGTCCATATCTCCTTTCAATACTCGTCTGTATTGATTCAAACACTCTTCCGTGTTTAACCTTTTGATACTCGCCTGTACCTTCTTTCAATACTCGTCCGTATTGATTCAAACACTCGTCCGTGTTTAAACTTTTGATACTTACCTGTATCTTCTTTCAATACTCGTCCGTATTGAATCAAACACTCGTCCGTGTTTAACCTTTGATACTCATCCGTATCTTCTTTCAATACTCGCCCGTATTGATTCGAACACTCGTCCGTGTTTAACCTTTGATACTCGTCCATATCTCCTTTCAATACTCATCCGTATTGATTCAAACACTCGTCCGTGTTTAACCTTTTGATACTCGCCTGTATCTTCTTTCAATACTTGTCCGTATTGATTCAAACACTCGTCCGTGTTTAAACTTTTGATACTTACCTGTATCTTCTTTCAATTCTCGTCCGTATTGAATCAAACACTCGTCCGTGTTTAACCTTTGATACTCGTCCGTATATTCTTTCAATACTCGTCCGTATTGATTCAAACACTCGTCCGTGTTTAACCTTTGATACTCGTCTGTATCTTCTTTCAATACTCGTCCGTATTGATTCAAACACCCAGCCTTGTTTAACTTTTGATACTCGTCCGTATCTTCTTTCAATACTCGTTCGTATTGATTCAAACACCCGTCCTTGTTTAACCTTTCTTGATGCTCGTCTGTGTCGCTTATCTAAACGATCATCATGTCGTAACCCGTGTTTCCTTCTTCGAACCTGAGATCGTCCGTAGGCTAGGTTCTTCCGTTCATCGTCGAACCTGAGATCGCCCGTAGGCTAGGTTCTTCCTTCAAATCATCGTCGAACCTGAGATCGCCTCTTGGCTAGGTTCTTCCTTCAAATCATCGTCGAACCTGAGATCGCCTCTTGGCTAGGTTCTTCCTTCAAATCACCGTAGAACCTGAGATCGCCTCTTGGCTAGGTTCTTCCCTCAAATCATCGTCGAACCTGAGATCGCCTCTTGGCTAGGTTCTTCCTTCAAATCATCGTCGAACCTGAGATCGCCTCTTGGCTAGGTTCTTTCCATATACTTTGTCTTAGAACCTGAGATCTCCCTTTGGCTAGGTTCTCTGTCAAATCACTCTCATGTGTCACCTTAGGATCGTAGGTCTCCCGTAGACCTCGTCCGCTGTCTTTTTATAACAACCATTTGTCTTGTATTGACATCAAGCCACATTACAAGTCCAATCTCTGTCTCTTCATTGAAAAACCAAAGTTTCTTTTCCATAGCAGATAACACAAAAATAAATAAAGAAAACACTTACTCTCTCTCTCTCTCTCTCAGGACAAATTTTTGGCATTGATATTTAATCATCTTCAACCTTGAACTTCTGAAAGGCATGTGCCAATCGTACTTTCAGGTTTAAGACGATTAAATAGGGGAAGCTGTAATACCCCAAATTTGTCCTACCCTTTTACTTTTATCTGGCTTACGCATCTCACATTTCCCTTTCGTACATAACCTTCAGTAGATCATTTAACATATCATGCATCATCGATTAGTAAATTTAGCACAGGATCAATGGTGTCGAATAATTAGGGTTGTTGTTTGGCTTCAAGGTTCTCATCCTCATTCAAGCTTGAATCAACTGGTTTCCATCAATCGTTCGTTTGAAGCTAGGGTTTTATTTCCTGGACTACTTTATCGTCAAACTATAAGGATATTCTTTCTTCTTAACATCAAGTTGCAATCTTTCTTCAAGGCTTAAGATTAGGATTTCCATATGGTTCGAGATGGGTGTTAGAGGTGTTCGCGGTTCGGTTTGGATCGGTTTTAAAGCAAAAACTCATCCGATCCAAAGATTAATTCACTTAAGGTTCGGTTTGGTTTTGGATGATATATTTAAAAAATCTAATCTGATCCGATCCAATTTTATGCGGTTTAATTTGGATCGGTTTTTGGATATCCAAATTACACATTATATTTTTATTAATATTATAAAACTACTAATAAATCATAGATTTGATATAATATATAACATATAGTATATTAAAAGTTAATATTACAAAATGAGAGTGATTGATTATGCTTGAAATAATAAAAATAAAAAGATTATACCAAACTAATAAATATTATTAAAAAATTATAATCATCTAATAATAAATTCACATAACATGTCATACTAATAAAAAGTAAATAAGTATCAAAATATATTTATGCGGTTCGGTTTGGTTTGGATCGATTTTGAAAAATTCATCCGAAATCCAATCCGAACTGACCAGTTTTCATAAAATAACATCCAAACACAACCAATAACTTTCGGTTTTTTATGGTTTTCGGTTTTTTGGATCGGTTTTCAGTTTTTTATTTGGCTTGGTTTGGATTTGAACACCCCTAATGGGTGTATCAATTGAGCAAGATTCAAATGTTGTCTCTATTTGACCATGGAATGGAATTATTTATTTGGAGCCTCCTCAACTTATAGGACTATATTTCCATCAGCATTAGTCAAGAATCATGGAATCAGGGATGGGTCATTCATTTGAGGATTCCTTTGAGGCTTGGGGATCAAATTTTATCTTCTTATGGTTATGATTACTAAGTTACCAAGACTAGGTGTATCTAACTTTCATTAATTAAAGGTGTATGAGTCAAGATCTTTACGCAAAAAGTATGGAAGCATCATTCATTTACCATCCATCAAAATTAGGGATTTATTCCCAATTCTTCCATCAATGTTTGTTTTAGGGACTTAAGCTAAGTATTCAGAATAGCGTGGATACTACGTGGAAATCATTTGAAAAGAAATAAAATGGGAGAAATTTCATCAAATTCAAAGATATTCAAGCATATTGTACAAGTTCTATCAAAGTTCATTCAACTTCATTCAAAATGACAAGAATACAAAGTTCTAAACATGACAATATGAATTTGGTCCTAAAACATAAGAATTCTAAGTTTCTAGATTTATGAACTTCATGCTTTTGGTTGCAAAAACCAAACTTCAAGCTTCCATAACATCTCAAAGTAATCTTCATGCTTGATGCCCTTATGTCTTGAATTTCTTCACCATGTTTATATGTCATATTCGCATCATCTATGACCAAACTTGTTGTTAAAACCATCTTCAATACACCTTTTCATTCACCATGCCAAGCTGCACCACTGAACCTGCACCACACACATTCATTATCATGATCATAAAATCTAAAAATATAGCATACAACTGACATGTTCATGCACACATCAAGTCACCATGCTGTTACAAGGATATCACCATGACATTGCATCAACTTGCCTAACCAAGAATGACATCAGTTCATAATACATGCAACAAGTCCAGTATAAAATGTTGAATACGCTACTTCAGTTCAGCATACTTCAATCAGACCTGCATAAGCATAAGTAAAAAACATGCATCACATTTCAGTACAGGGGAAATCATCCAAGTGTTGTATATTTATAGTCCAACATCATTCATCATTATCACTATTCACCTGTAACAGAATTACCAAACAAACCATAACACCTAACAACCCATAACTAACTATAACCAACTTTGCATTTCCCAATTTCCTAACAAACTTTTCTAACAGCTTTTCTAACTGTTAACTACCCTGCCAACTCCAACTAACATTCCCGAAAACAGCCCTGCACTCAACAAACTTCCTAACCAGATTCATAACAAACCTATAACCATTCTAACTAACTTCCATATAACCACTCCATAACCGACTGTAACAGAAAATCAAAAACCAACCAACTGTTTCCAATCCCTAACCAACTAACAGTCCAACCAACCCCTAACCAATTTTCCCAACAAACTCTACAGAAAATATATAATAGATTTCACAGCATACATAAGGAGATACACAGAATACAGGGATATTATTCGATTAAAAAAAAACCAGAAAAGTCAGAATATTAGATATAGAGAAACTCACCAAAAACTATAAAATTCACTCCCTCTTTTTCCTCTTTTTCTTTCATTCCCTTCATTCTAGGGTTCCTTTCTTCTTCACACCACTTCACACCTTACCTAACCATGGCCAGTTTCAGTTCCTTCTCTTCTTCATCTTCCACTCCTCCTCCTCCTCCCTCTTTCTCTTACATTTCAGCCCCGTCTTCTTTAAAACCTTTCCATGATGACTCTGTTGAGGATTCCTGTAGTATTTGCTTAGAGTCCTTCACCGTTCATGACCCTTCCACTGTTACTTGTTGCAAACATGAATATCACCTGCATTGTATTCTTGAATGATCACAGAGAAGCAAAGAATGCCCAATATGTTGGCAATCGCTTTCTTTGAAAGACCCTGCTAGCCAAGAGCTTATTATTTCCGTGGAGGCTAAAAAATGCTTAAGATCAAGAAACATTCATTCTTATTCACTCACTAATTCTTCTGACCCCATTGAACGTTTTAATGGTGACTATGATGCTTCTCGCTCAGATGACGTTGACTTTGACGAGCAAATTATGCAGCACCTATATGCTGCTGCAAGTAGAGCTCGTTTTGTTCAGAGATAGAGAAGACAAGGATCGTCCGGAGCAGGTCCGTCAGAGGTATCTGGGGTGCAACCAACTCTTACAACTTCACTGGCTGGAAGTAGTTCTCCGATCACTGGTTTACCATCGGCTGCCGACCTTCATCCTGAGGTCGCAAGAAACATAAGCCCTGAGACTGATGTCTCTTACCGACCCAGAGTTCTTTACAGTCCGTCACCACCACATGATGGTAGGAAACTAAATACTTCCGAGGTGTTCCCCTTGCCTGAGTCCATCAAATCCAAACTTTCTGCTGCTTCAGCTAGATATAAGAAATCATTGAAGCCAGACGAAAACGTTGACGAAGGGAGTGTTCATGACACGTCTGAAGTGAGACAAGAGATGAATGAATGAAGTGTTACAACGAGAAAGGAAGAGACTGATGTTGATAGGAGGGAATCACCGGCCGCCGTTGTAAGAAGAGAGTAAGGAGGCGGCGCGCTTCGTGAGGAAGATGAAGAGGTTGCTCGAAGCGATGATGAGGTGCAGTCACGGCGGATCTAAGAATCGCATCAGAACATGGGAGGTGAGCCGAGGAAGACAACGATCGGAGATTGAAGAAGCGCCGCCGCGCCGTCTTAGAAGAGGAGGGTTTGTGAAAAGGAAGAAGAAGCTAACTTCTGACCCTAATTCCTCTTTGCATATACTTTTGATTTTTTTTCTTTTTTTTTCTTCTTTCTTTTAATTTTCAATTCAATTTAATCAACAAAGATTTCAATTGGTGATGATGTTGATGGGCCTGGGCGAATTATCCTATGCTTAGGTCCAAGTTATCCGTTTTTTTATGCATTACAACTTAAGTAACAAAAAAAAAACTTCATTGGATCTCCTTTTGCATGGGCCTTGCACCTAGAGTTATTGCCGGAAATACACCTCGATTTAGACTTTACACCCCCTAAACTCCTTACGTTTTCATCTTATTTTTATTTACCAATTTTATTTTATTGGATTTTGTCAATTTTTATTGCATGACAAAATAACCTAAAAAATAATAGAATATTTTAGAATTCTTTAGAATTTCTTTTTAGAATTTCGATTAGAATTTTTTTACTATTTTATTTTGCATATTTGGTAATCATTTTTATTGTCATTTTTAGTCAAGATTTTTGTGATAGTATCGATGCAACTCTTGTAATGTGGAATGCTCGGGGTTAATTCTTCAATCACTCGTTCAAGGGAACTTTGGCAGGATTTTCTTATCGCTTGCACAGTTTCGAAGAGGTAACGGACCTCCTCCGTTCGGTATCGTCATAACTCTATTTTATTCTTCACTTTCGTACTTTATCACAAATCATATACTTGCTAACATTAGGTAGATGTTTCCATTTCATTCATCCTTGACATAGGGCTACTAACGCATGATAACATTAGGTTTAGAAATAAGCTAGTCCCCTTTAACTTTTCTTCTCCTTTCGCATACGCATCTAAAACTAAAACTTCTTTTCTTTCAAAATTCAAAACACTTTAAAATTACTGATGAGAATCACGCTTTTGCTTAATATGGGAAATGATAAGCGGGTCTCTTCTCGATCTTATCGTTCTTCATCTCAAGTTTAGGTGTGATTCAAAATCTCAAAGACTCCTTTCATGGCTAAGTAGGAAAATGGCTAATATCTCTCTCTTGAGGTCAATCAGTCATCATCTACAACAAAATATAAACCAATTCAAATATTTTGTGCGCTCGAGCACTTTTCTTTAAAACCCTTTTCAGGTAAGAACACGATTAATTTACTTCTGTGCCAACGCATAAGTCTCCAAAGGTCGAGCTGCGGCAGAAGGCGGGATTAACTTCGTCCACAAAAAACACAAACAAACAAAAACATATGAGCCGAACTACGGTAGCTCTGATTCCTCAAAAAGGATACGTAGGCATTGGGGTAGGGCCCAGGCGAGCACAATTTTATTTTCCCTACATTTTTTCCCTTTTATTTTGCATGCATTCCCCTCAGTAATATAATAGACAATAAGTACAGATTAAACACACCCATAAGATAGATAACAAGAGTGGATACCGTAGAGTACTACGGGCGTGTGGGGTGCTAATACCTTCCCCTCGCGTAACAGACTCCCTTACCCGATCTCTCGGTCGCAAGACCGTGACTTCTCCCTTCTCAGGTTTTCTCGATGTTTACCTTTCCCTACATGTGGGATAAAAGACGTTCGATGGCGACTTCATTGTTTTGATGATTTTCAGCCAGTTGTTTCAGCAGGTTTTCTGGTTGAGCTTCTGTGGGCTCCCCTGGACTGCTATGCAGTCCTGCTCTTTTTTATATTTTGTGTTCTCTTATTGTCTTGAACAATAGCCTGCCAAAACTGTAAACCTTTTTCTGGTTCTCTCTTTCTCTCTCCATAAAAGTATTTTAAATTGCTTATTATACCTTTTCTGAAAAGCTAGTTGGCCAGAATATGATGATGAAAATTGACAAGCCTTCTTGCTTGTGACTTGGTTTATCTTACTGCATTGCTGTACTTTCTTTCCATATTTTCTGCATTGTTCTTTCTTTGACAGCTTGTGTACTTTGACAGCTTTGCAACTTGGTTTGACATTAGTTTGCATTTGTAGTTAGTTTGTCAATGCTTGCTCATGCTGGCTTAGTTGACTAATGCAGTTTGCTTTGCCTTGCTGCCTTATATCTTTGCATTTTGAGTTAATTGTATGCTTGCAAATTGTTTTTACTTTCCTCTTTGTGAATCAAGAACAGAAATCTTCTTATGATTTACGAAGAGAACAAGTAAAACATGATGAACCCAATAACAATCTGATTCTGGCCAACAAGCTTTAATGATGACCCTTTTTTTATTTATCTGCTTAAAAATGCTTTTCAGTTTAACTGCACTGATTTCTTTTTTCTTCTGTCCTTTGCAGGTAAGTACCAGTTGAATAATGGAGGATGCAGTAAAAGTAGAAGATTTCAAGAGATTTAGGCTTTAGATTTATTTTCTTTTCATTTATTGTAATAAATATTATTGTAAACACTAAATTATAAATTTACAATATTCGAATAACATTTGTAACAATATTTGAAATAAATAAATAAAGTCTTTGTCAAATAAGAATTTTCTACTGTCAAATATTCCATTCTTTCCTTGTACTGTCTATTTAATTATTTAAGTCTCTTAAATTAAAATAACTGGAAATGTATCCCAATAACTTTAATCCAGATGAAATAAATAATCAACAAACTTTTGTTGTCTCGCAACCTTGGATTAACCACAATACGCCTGGCACTCCAATTAACCATGCTTTAAACAAACAAGCATTCCATACACTTTTCACTCCACTGATCAAACCAATGCCTCAAAGTTTTAATCAAAAGCCTCAGCTCCTATCCCAGATATTTAGGTTTTGAGAAACAACCGGTAATATGAAACAAGCGTAAAAATAATGTAACAGTCAATTGAATTATTGTGGATTCAATTTCTTCTGAGAAATACGAGTGAAAACCCTAATTCCAGATTTGTCGTCAAAGAAAAGTCTGTTTGATCAATTCCTGAGCCAATCTTGAAAAGTCAGGGAAAACCCTGAAGTTGTGATTTCTTGAAAAACGGGTGGGCAAGTTTTGGGGTACAACATTCATCAAGACATTCAAAAATATCAAACTTGATCGTCAAGAATCATGAAAGTCAACAAAAAGTCAAGATTTTTAATACTTAGAAAATTTCTAAGTGTTTTTAACCTTGATAACTTCACTACTTCATGACAATTTTTCACCAAGATGTAAGAAGATTCAAGGAAAAATTTCAACATAAAAGATGCAGATCTTGATTAATTCTATAACTTTGTATTAAATGGTTGATCTCCAAAAAATGCTTAGATTAGGAGATATAGGCCCATTAAGTCATGACATTTTTACTAAAACACTTAGTGAAATTTTCAACAATTTTGGTCAGATTATTATCCCAACTTCTTGGCAATTTTTCACCAAGTTCCAAGTTGATTTAGCCAAAGTGGTCAACATGAAAGTTGTAGATAATGTTTCAAGATTTACAAAATTTCAAATAACTTGAAGAGATCATTCTTTAGCTAGGAGATTCAATGACTTGAAGTTGGCATGATAAACTTGAATTATATGCCATTTTGATGATGAACACATAATCCAATATTCATGTTATGCTGCATAATATTGCTCTGCAGGCCTTCTAACTTACAAGTATCACCATAATTAAATGTTTACAAAACTTTTGAGCTATGATCCAAGTGGTTAAAGCATTATCCAATCCATTTTTCCATTTTTGGAAGAAAGGCACCATTGCCATTCATATAAAGCAAGCTTTATACACAATGTCAACTTCTTGAGCCTCTCACTTGCTCCCTCTACACACATTCAACATGTATGCTCAGAAGAAATATATCTAAGCCTACCAACCACCCTATTGATGCATTGAAACCATGAGCTTCATGTAACTTTCTCACTTGCATTTCAACTAAGCCATAACTCCATAATTTGCTATCTTACAAAGCTGGTTGTTTCAACCTCCCAAGCCTTTTCTCTATAAATAGAGAGGTTATTAGCAAGATATAGCACGAATTTACAAGCTCTTAAACCCTCTCATACACTCTCAAACCCGAATTGGATATAAAACTCATTTCTTGAGTTTTTAAAATCTATTTCTTTGAAACTCATCACTCTTGCAACTTTTATCCAAACAAATCATCCAAACACTTTATATACATCATATAGAAGTGATCAAAACACATGTTTCGCTTCTGCAATCACTCTATCATCATACACCATTTTCAAAATACACCATTGCAACTTGACTTGAGTAGACCAATCCAAACACTCTCAAGGCAAAGTAAGAGTTGCAACATACTCACCAAGGTCTAAGGAAGCTAAAGCAAGCATCACATTACTTCTTGAAGTCATGTAGAGGACATTGAATTTTTGCATCAAGTGGTAAGTTTTTCCAACTTTGAAATCTTGATATAAGCATCATTTGCACTTACTTTTAAAATATAAAATGTAAATATCATGTCTATAAAGCTAACCATATCCTTAAATTTCATTTTAATTGACTGAGAGATGAGGATTTTGAAACTGATTTTTTTGGACATTTAGGTTTTCGTTTGGTACCAATAGAAATTCGTAAAAATCTTTGAGTTATAGATTCAGAAAATTATACCATTAGATTCCTTGCGAAATTCTAAGCAAATTTCATTTTTACATTTTTGAATTTGGTTGAGAAATGAGGAAGTTAGAATTTTTGAAAATTGGAAATCATATATCATTGTTACTGTAATAACATGCAGCAGGAAGAAGATAAAAATGGAATTTCAAAATTTTGACAACTAAGTTCATATTATATTTATTGGTTGTCATTTTATGAATGGATGAAACAGTCACCCCAGTGGT